TCCTCTAAACCTAACTTATTCATCAAGCTACTAAATAATAATAATAATAATAATAATAATAATAATAATAATAATAATATTATTATTATTATTATTTATTAAAGTATACACATCATTCTCCTTCGCTTCAGAAGGCATCGCCCTTGAAGCCGATTTGCACCTGTGGCCGGCGTGTGGCATCAAACCCGAATCCATGGTAGGAACCCCCGTCGTTTCCCCCGGTCAAATACGAAGGTTGAACGCCTCACCTCCATGGTATCACCCCCTTAAAATTCATAGAAAGACATATAGGCAACAACCACACACAAAATATTGAAGTCACTGTGGGGATCAAAAAAATCTGTTTGCAAGGTCGCAACAAATTTCCGTGGGAAAAAAGCTCTGGCCTGCGCAACATAAGTACTACCAATTCTTCAAGCAGTTGAATTTTGATACCCAGAACATGATGGAATTCCTCTAGCCCCGGAGGTTCCTCGGCGAAAATGGGCGGACCGTCGTAGAGATCGTTTACTTCGTCGATAAGACGCTCCTCCACCTCTTCGGGTCCTTCATCAAACATAGGCGGACCATCGTACAATAGCCCGTCAACTTTCTCTTAGTTGAATTTGGGGATGTTAACGCGAAACGGGCCCTCCCATTGATCATATTCGCGATCAAGTCCCCAATCGTGTCGGACACGATAACCGCCGGCAAATTCGCCATCCTCGATGTCGTTCAGAGGTGGCGGGGACCGCTGCCGGGGCGCCCCGACATGGCTGCGTCCCCCACAACCGCCTCTGTCTCCTGCGAAAGCCACGGCCCACAGCTCCTTCGCAGTTCGTTTGCAATTCTGAAACAACCACGTTGTTAAGCGTCAAATGCAAATCCTCGATCTCCGTCAAAAGATCGGCAAACCAATCCGTGAAACGCACGTCCAACTCTTGAAAATCGGTAGTCAATCTGTTGAAATTGATCGTTGAAGGTTGCATCACGTTGTTTGTTTGCGGCATTTTGTCGTTCTGACGACATCGCGAATCGTACTGACTGCTGATACCAACTGATGTAAGGGAAATAAACGAATGGTAAGGATAAACGAGTAAACGATATACTCTCTCGTAAAACACGTAAACTCAACAATATCTTTTATTCACTCAAAATCAACTCCGAAATAACAAAGAAGAAGGAGTCTTTAAATAATACTCCTAAAGCCCGAAACCTAATATATTCATCAAGCTACTAAATAATAAATAATCATAATAATAATAATAATAATAATAATAATAATAATAATAATAATAATAATAATAATAATAATAATAATAATAATAATAATAATCCTCCCTATATATAATTCCCGAATGCGCTGAGCCTAAGTGGCAGACTCACATGCTTCGGAACCCTAGGTGTCAAAATTTCATGTTTCATTGTTTGCCTTGGATAATTTTAATTTAATTTTAATCCCAAAATAATTAGGTTCGAATTACTATAAATATATTGATTTAATTATGATCATTTTAGATGTATTAATTGTATTTTAATATCATTTCCTATTATAACAATTGAATTGTATATGTATTTTAAAAGTTGATAACTTTTGTATTTCTCATTGGTTTTACATATATAATATACTAAATTAATCGTCTTTTAATGAGCTTCGAATTGATATCCATGTTGTACATATATAATAAATAAATTATATTATCTTTATAATAATAATAAAATTATTATTAAAATTAATTTAAAAATAAAATCATTTTTTAATTTATATATTTATGTATAATGCAGTTATATGTTATAAGTTAGAAAAATTATTATAATATGACACATGTAAGTCGCACAAGTAACAAGTATCATAATAAAATATAATATATATATATATATATATGTTTTTTTATAAAAACTATTTAAATTTTCAACCATTTTTTCTCATTAATTTTAAATTTTAAGAAAAAAATTTAGCAAACACCCGTGTAATACACGGGTGTTGTACTAGTAATAATAATAATAATAATTAAAGTATCCACATCAAATACTATATTATAATTTGATAATATATAATATGATTTTATATATATATATATATATATATTATTCGATCGGTTTGGTTATTCCAGACATTTTATGTCGAAAACCAACACCAGCCGAAATAACCGAAAAGTTACAAATTTAAAACCAACTACCGACTGAATCGGACAAAAACCGAACCGAAATTTTCGGTTCGGTCAATTTCAGTTGAATTTTGTACACCCATATGCCAAACTATAACAAATAACCGTACCAAAACGAAGTCAGTTACCATAAAAATCAATTCGATTCGGTATTTGTAAGCTCGAAGAACTAAACATTTTGACTTGTTTCGACTCGAGAAAAAAAGGAAAAACAAAAGTTTGAGATGAATCATAATTCTTAGTCGAATTCGATAAGAAAATACCTAATTATATGAATTCCGAACCTATTTTCGTTAGGATTCAATTTATATATTCGAAAAGGGAAAAAGAAAAAAAAAAAAAAAACCAACTTATATAGTGCGTAGGCTCAAACAGTTTCACTACGCTCAATAAATATAAATCTATATAAATATAAAAAGGTTTGGCATTTACATGAAATAAAAAATAAATTCCCGCCTAAAATTTTAAAGTTACTAAACTTGACAATATTTTTTAAAGTTTTCAAAAAATTCAGCCTAAATGTGTTTTTGAAAATTTTTAGAAAAATTAACATATAAATATTTAAAGAAAAAGATTACATATCAGACTCACGTTTGTTTGGATACATTCCTTATCTTAAATTCATAATATAAGATTTTCATTAAGTTTTAAAATACTGAACATTATTCCTTATCTTAAATTCCATAATATAAGACCTTCTCAATTAACTCTTAAAAAATCACATAAATTTAATTAATTATTATAACGTTTTAATTTATACTACTACATATTTTTTGTTTAACATTTTTAGAGTCTCGAGGTTGGGTCTGTGCAATTATCGAGCTTGTGCAATTATCGAGTCATGAGGAATCATTAATTATTTTTTTTATTAAATTATGTTTAAAAATTGATTTTATGTTCTGAAATTAGAATACGATTTTTAGTTTTGATATTAAATTATGTTTGATACAACTACATAATTTTTTTATTACAATCTAAGTTATATTTGTATTTCAATTAAAGTATGTTTATATATATATGTATATATAGTAATAAACGATTTCATTTAGGGAATAAATTATATTACTTAAGAAAAACGATATATGCAAAATATTTATTGTATTAAATATATTTTCTTATCTTAGAATTTAAGTTATATTATATTTGATGATATAAATATTTATCACTACGAATCTTATTATTTACTGAGCATTTTTAATTTATAAATATTAATTAATATATTTTACCCGTGCAAGAATACAATTAGTTAGGATAAACCTATCGATTAATATAAAAAAGGAGAGAGATTTACTTGAAATAATATACAAATTCCCGCCTAAAAAATGATTTTACTATATTTGATAATTTTTTGATTTTATTTAAATGGGCGGCTAACTTTGAAATGGAAATTCAGATTATGAAAATATTCACAAAAAATCAATCAATCATTTCTTTATATTTTTCAGGTCAAACGTGCAAATTTGGTTACAAAAATTCTGCCATCATTTACCAAATAAAACGGTTTTTGATTTTTTTTTGAAAAGTCATGCCAACTTAATTGTTAAATATTCTTTTCTTTATCTAACTACAAATCTCATATTTTATGGTCACAACTAAAACTTTTATTTGTGTAATAAAGAATGTTAATGTCCAGAACAAAAAAAAAAAATATATCATATTTCAGATTCTTTAACATTCGATGATTTTTTTGTCCATGTTTATCTAACTACAAAATATTTTTTTAAGTTTAAAAAGAACTCATATCATGTGGATTTTTGGCAGATATCATATCTATATCTATATAAAAGGGTTTGATTATTCTTTAAATAGTAACTATTCCATAAAAAAAAATATATATATATATATATATATATATATATATATTTACTATTTTAGAAATCAATTTAACCATTTATGGTAAGATTCAAATAATCACTTATGGAAATTGTGACTCATTATTTAAGGAAATAATTAAGCCATATAAATATTCATTTTTTAAGATGCCTTAATTACACAAATTAATATAAAATTTATGTTATATTTCAAATAATTAATTATGGTAAATTCATTTTTTAAGATACCTTAATTACTCAAATCATGTGAATTGGATGATTTTACCCAAATATTGGAATTTCGGCTGCAATATCAATTACGTGTTTTGGTAAAAAAAATTCCAACTAAATTGTACAATTTATCATTTAATAAGTCTTTTGTATTTTTCGTGTAATTATTTTGTGAAATACATTTTTAATATACATTAATTACGCAAATTATGTAAATCCGACATATTAATTCAATATGTAAATAATTACTACAATTATGAAAACATCGACAACAATAACTAATTATGCAATTTGCAAAGCTTGTTCTAAAAAATTGTGTTAATGACAATTTTCATTTACATATTTTTTAATAAATGTTATTTTTTGTGTATTTAATTGATCAAATTGTGAATAATTAAGGAAATAATTAGACAATAAAAATTTTTATTTTTATGATACCCTAATTACTCATATCGTGTAAGTTCGGAATTGATTTATTCAATTATAATTTCTTATAAAATTAATCTAAAATAAATGTGTTAATGACAATTTTTATTTAATATTTTTTACCAACTATTTCTGGGTTTTTTTTATCTATAATAAACGTGAGTCTTGATTTTTTTTCTTACGTTGCGCAATATTGAATATCATTTGTATTTTATCGATAATGTATGTAATTGAATTATTTGATATACTATACATTAATCCAATATACCCGCTCATGGTAATAAATGGTATCTCAATATTTTTTTCATAGGCATTTTACTCGATATTAATGAAAGAAAATTATAGATAATACTATGTTCGATTCTTCTTTGTAAATGGCGTGGAACTTCTTATCTTTTTGGAAAAAAAATGTGCGTGGAACATATCAAATTATTTGGTGTGTGTGCGTGTGTATGTGTATGTATAAAGTTTTTTTTTTTAACTTAAATCACATTATAGTCAAATCAAATTTTTGAATAAAATTTTTAAAATGACATCCATTTTTTAAATGAATATAATGTAACTATTATCAATCACCGTATGAGTCGTGTACTAATTTTAAATAGACATGCTTTATATTTAATTGTGCAGAATTTAAATTTCATATAACATTTTCAATAAATTAATATAGGTAAATAATTTTTTATATTGATTTAATATTTTTAATTTATAAATATTATTTAATGAACATTTGTAATTTATAAATATTAATAAATAATTTTTACTCGTGCATCGCACGAGATTCGTAACTAGTGGCAAAAGGACTTTTTTCTCTTTAGCTTCAAGTGATTTGATGTTAGCTCAAGAAAAATCAGAAGCTACAGGTCGAGCATAGCCATGGCGGCTGAGCAAGAACTCGACGTCTCAAACCGTTCGTGGCTTCATATGATATCTGCTTTCCGCGCCTTGGAACCGCCCGACGCCGTGATTTCCATAGCCAGGTCGGTCGCCCCTGAAAACCTCGCCCTTCAACCCTTCAAATTTGAAAAATTTCCCCTCCTTTTTTCAGCCCTTTTTAAGATAATTGTCTATTACTTTCTTTGTACTTCGATTCAAGACAGATTTTTGATTTACAAGCTTTGTCTGATTTTAGGGAATTAGGCGGAGGTTCAATAACGGAGAGTGTTCAGAGCTGCATATGGCGCCACTGTATAAGCAAAGCTGTAAGCTTTCAGCTTTCTCCTAGTGAGAGAAAAACATGAAGTATGAAGTAGTTAAAAGAAAGTTAATGTCTTTTTTCAGGACTTGAAGTGGCAGGGCCCTTATTTGAAAAGATTCCTCAAGAAACTAATATTCGAAATCGAATCGGGTGGTGGCCTCGTTTTGGATGAATTGTATGAACAATATGCTTCATATATGATCTCTTTGCAGGTTATGCATTAAGTACACTTACCATTTGTATGTTTTTTTTTGGGGCAGTAAATCGTATTGTTCTGAATTAATTTTCTAGTATGCCGGTTAGGATGATGAGGCCGATCAAGGGAACTCGAGAGTATTGAAAACAATCACATTTCTTTTCCCTAATGGTAGTTTTCTTGTTGTTTTTTCAGGTTTTTCTCATGCTTTTGGTAATTAATTCCTGTTATAATGCTTGCCATTTTGATTGATTTATAGGAGATTCGTCTGGATTTGGAAGTTGCCTAGAGAACTTAGAAGTTCCACTGAGGTGTTCTGTGAACATGCTGGAAGGTGATACTGGGTAAACTATTTCTTGCTTTCTTATTTTATGTTTCAAGTACATGAATTTGAGCTAGCTATTTCTTTAAAAGTACATAATTCAGATATGTAAAATGAGAATTTAAGCGAGTAACTATGTGAGATTGCTCGGCATTTTACTCTGTATCATTATTTCATTTTTCATTGTGCCTTAGTGGTGGCCTCAATGCTTTCCAAAAGTGGTCATTATTTTATGTTTATCGAAAAATATGAGTATCTTATGTTGTAACATAATTGAGAGGTTAACAACTTGCCGGTACTATAGAATGAGGCAATTATAGGACAGTTGAGGATTTCTGGTGGCGTTGCACAAAGATTAAAAGGATCCCATGATATAATATTGCCTGACAGCAGCAAAAATTTGAATGAAATAAGAGGTCTTTACAAGTTTTTTTAATTTTATCTTGAGTTTCAAAGTGAACTCATGCAATATTACATATCTTGTGTCTTAAGTTATTGAAGCTTTGCTTGTGCAGCACTGATCTGATGCGAACGATTGCTGAATTTGTATTTATAGGTGCTCTATTTGGCCATCAAGTCTTTTCCTGTCGGAATTTATAATTTCTTACCCAGAACTATTCGCAAATAAATCTTGCTTTGAGGTGAGATGTACGTTTTCGAAATCCGATGCTATTTATTCTGCACTGGTTCCAATTGTTAAAATATTTCATTCTTCCGATGTACAATTTTTTGGTTCATATATGAATTTTGTCTTTTGTTGTTCCGTATGTGCAGTATTTTTCTTAATAATTGCCAAATGTTTTTTCTGCTAAATCATTTAATGGCTGAAAATTATATTTCATTTTGTAACAGTTTGGCTCCGGGGTGGGATTGGTTGGTGTATGTCTTGCCTATGTGAAAGCATCTAAGGTTAGTTTTTGCATGATAACTAAGTATGAAGCTTATTATAATTTATATATAGATAATCCAATTGACAAATTGGTTCGATATTTTCGATGGTAATTACAGAATTTTCTTTTATATATTTGCTAACATATGTTCTATCTCCATCTATATGGCTTTGTTATTCAGTAGTCATAGGGCCATCTAAACCTTATAATCCGTTGCCAATATGTTATTGTAGATTGTTCAAGACACTTGATCATTTATATCCGTTTATAAGTTCAGGTAATACTAAGTGATGGCGATTTGTCAACTTTAGCCAATATGAAGGTTAACTTGGAACTGAATCACTTGAGCCCAAGAAATCATACATTAGGCAACCTTTTACATCATGATATGGTTAGTTATGCAAACTTTTTTTTTCTTTCTTTCTTTT